ATGGGCAGGGATTCAGAAAGATAGAGGCAGAGAGATGGGAGTTTATGAATGAAGGGTTCTTGATGGGTCAGATAGACCTTCTCAAAAGCATCAGGCGACGAACCACCACTTCTTCCCCTCCCTCGCTCCTCCACCAACACGACCCCTGCACCGAGCTCCTCCGACGAGACAGGGATACTCTCATGGTGGAGGTCTCGAGGCTCAGAGAGCAGGAGCAGAGAGCGAGATGCTACATCCAAGCCATGGAGCAGAGGATTAATGGAGCCGAGAAGAAACAGAGACACATGATGTCCTTCTTGAGGCAAGCGGTGCAGAACCCATCGCTTCTGCAGCAGCTGCTCGAGCAGAGGAAAGAGCCATCGGAGGAGGCTGCTGCGATCGATCAGATTCAGACTAGCCTTGTCAAACAGGAGGCGGTGGAACACGTGTCTGAGCTGGAGGCTCTGGCGCTTGAGATGCAAGGACACGGACGGCAACGGACTGGTGACGTGGAGAGGGAGCTCGACGACGGGTTTTGGGAAGAGTTACTGGTGAGCGACCACAATTCCGAGGAAGAAGATGCTAACGTGAGCGTGGTTCCCCGCACAAGTTATTAATTAGTTAAGGTTTTATGGGTTCCTGTCCGGAGCTAGTTATCAACATATATATATAGATAGAATAAAAAAGAAGAACCATCAAAATCAACCATATGTGAATAGGGAGGGTGGTTACATTGCATTATCAAAGACAGAGATATAAAGTATGCTCCTTTTTTTCTGCTCATAATTGCAAAACGGATCGTTTGTTTGGATAACTAAGTAATTATTACACACGAAATGAGACGGTGTAAAAAGGGGTTGAGTGAAGCTTAGGAGCAGCCGGACTTGCGGCAGAGACAGCGGTGGGATTTAGCGGCAGAGACGCAAACGCCGCGAATGGCTCCTTCGTTCTTGCACAAGTCGTTGCAAAGGTTTTCACCCACATGACCCATCCAACACTTGAAGTTTGGTAGACGCTTGCATTCCCACTCACACCCTTGCGCCTGCGCTTCTCCTTTCTCCATTATTCCTATATGTTTTTATACTACAATTACTACGATATTCCTTTCGCAACAAGCTACTACTCTATGTTCCAAATCGAACTAGGAATATAATTGAATATGTACCTGTGGAAACCACCAAGACTAGGAGGAGGAGAATGGTAGATAAATTGATGATCTTCGCCATTATATTTGGTTGCTTCTTCTAAATTAGCGATCCTTTTGCAGTTCAATGAAAGAAAGAAAATGAATGTTGGGGGCTTTTATGTACTGCAGCTGCAGATATTCGTTGACTCAGGTTTCGTGCTACATGTCGAGAGATGTCAATTTTTAAATGAATCAACGCAACTCAAATGATTATATGATAAGTAAATTAATTAGTTAGTTCCCATGACGTGCGAGAGAGATTCATGTGATCTGTCTTCTCCATTTACATATCTAAAAACCCGCGTCAACTTGTGAATAAATTAGTGTACGTATTCTCTGGCTGTTGCCAACCTTATGATTTTGATGTTTTTTTGGTCGTAAGCGTTTAGAAAAATGCTTTTGATACGGTGGTCGTCGGCGTGTCCTTCTTATCGCATTTTGTGTTCATGAATGGGGCCGCCTAGGGGTGGACGGATCCAGATATCCTAGATTTTCACGTTATCCGAATCCGAATTCAGATCCGTGGTAAAAATATCCGTGGTAAAAATATCAGGATCCGGTTCCATGGTCTCCGAATATCCGGCTTTGGATATCCGACCAAAAATCATTATATCCGCAGCTATCCGACCAAAAATCAGGACATCCGACCAAAAATCATGATATCCGCGGATATCCAGATCCAAAATTAATATTTTAAATAATTAATAAATAAATAAAAATTAAATTTTTAAAAATTATTAGTTAAAATTTTGAATGATATTTTCTCATAATAAATATAGTATATTATAATAAAAACTAAAATCAATATAAAATAGCTTAATTTATATAATATATATATGTATTAATATATTTAGTGCGTCCGGATCCGGATATCCGGACCTTAAAATTTTGCTATCCGGATCCTCTTTTCACGGATCATAGATTTTACTATCCTTGTTCGGATCCGGGCTTCCAGATATCCTAATTTTGCGCAGCAGATATGAATGGATAACGGATCGGATCTCAAATAATAATTACACCCTAAATGGGCCTGGCCCATACTATTATCTCAGAAGTGAAAACTGGAATAAAAACGATAATAATTCGGAAAATACCAATCGTTTACAGATGGCGATGATGATTGGACAATATGGATAATAAAAGCATCATTATTAGTAACACCCTTAAAGGATCTTAAGTATATTTTTAAGATTAAATTTAATATTAAAAAAGAGTTTGACATTCAGTTAGTTTCATGTAAATATATATGTCTCCAATGGTGACACTGGATCGGTCAAGAGAGATGAATCGCCGTTTGTGGTTCGATTTGCGAGAGAGAATCGCGAGAGACGGTGAGAGCATCATTGAGAGAGACGACGAAATCGACATCGGAAGAGGAGAAGCTCCGATGACAACAGCCTCTACGACATCCCAATCGCAATTGCCATCGGAGGAGGAGAAGAGAGAGACGACGGTGGCGGAATCGACATTGGAAGGGAGAAGCTCCGACGACAACGATGACTTCGATTTCGGCATCGCAATCACCATCGACATAGAGGAGGAGAAGAGAGAAAGAGAGACTCCAGAGATCTGAATTTCGGATTACACACGGTCCAATAAAATTCTTCCATGTGAACCTGAAGACCCGATTCAGTAATCTTCTCCCACTGAACCGTTTCATTAATAATTCAACTACTTAAAATGATTTTCTCTAAAGACCCACCCCTCCCCCTCCGATGACGAAATCGACATCGGAAGAGGAGAAGCTCTGACGANAACAGCCTCTACGACATCCCAATCGCAATCGCCATCGGAGGAGGAGAAGAGAGAGATGACGATGGCGGAATCGACATTGGAAGGGAGAAACTCCGACGACAACGATGACTTCGATTTCGGCATCGCAATCACCATCGACATAGAGGAGGAGAAGAGAGAAAGAGAGACTCCAGCGTTTTCTTCCTTTTCCCATAGATCTGAATTTCGGATTACACACGGTCCAATAAAATTCTTCCATGTGAACCTGAAGACCCGATTCAGTAATCTTCTCCCACTGNACCGTTTCATTAATAATTCAACTACTTAAAATGATTTTCTCTAAAGACCCACCCCTCCCCCTCCGATGACGAAATCGACATCGGAAGAGGAGAAGCTCTGACGACAACAGCCTCTACGACATCCCAATCGCAATCGCCATCGGAGGAGGAGAAGAGAGAGATGACGATGGCGGAATCGACATTGGAAGGGAGAAGCTCCGACGACAACGATGACTTCGATTTCGGCATCGCAATCACCATCCACATAGAGGAGGAGAAGAGAGAAAGAGAGACTCCAGCGTTTTCTTCCTTTTTCGGATTACACACTGTCCAATAAAATTCTTCCATGTGGACCTGAAGACCCGATTCAGTAATCTTCTCCCGCTGCACCGTTTCATTAATGATTCAACTACTTAAAATGATTTTCTCTACAAAAAGTTTGCAGTAAAATGAGACTACTGAGCAAAAAATTCCCCGTCTCTTCTAACATCATGTACTCTGCATCGGCCATTTCGGTTCCAACGTCTTGTTGTTATCTTCGTCTCCATTGTAGTATTTCGACAGAGCCATCACACCGTCCCAAATTGAGCCGAATTCGGACAAACCCATCTCTAAATTACCCCGGAAAGTTCATCGAAGCTCCTTCTTCGAGGATTACTTGTTCCGATGGAGGCCTTAACGAAGCTTTTCAACGGCTGGACGGGTTAGTCCATATCGACGATTATTCTCCAATGGAAGCGTATGCCTACGTTCTTGAGCTTTGTGGAAAAAGGAGAGATATCTCCAAAGGTCGGCAGCTTCATTCACGCATCTTCAAGGCTTTCCCTGCAAGTGAATTAGATCTTTTGGCCGGTAAGCTTGTGTTTATGTACGGTAAGTGTGGGTATTTGGATGATGCAGAGAAGCTGTTTGACGAAATGCGTGAGAGAACGGCCTTTGCATGGAATGCCATGATAGGAGCCTATGTTTCGAATGGTGAACCTGCTACAGCTCTTGCTATATACCGCAATATGCGGGTTGAGGGCGTCCCTGTCGATCTTTATTCTTTTCCTGTTTTGCTTAAAGCCTGCGGCAAACTTGGAGATATCCAGAGTGGGGCTGAGCTTCATTGTCTCGTCGTTAAACTTGGCTACAGTTCAACAGATTTTATTGTCAATGCGTTGATTTCTATGTATGCTAAGAATGATGACCTAAGCGCAGCAAGGCGTCTGTTTGACGGAGCAGAAGAGAAAGGAGATGTTGTTCTGTGGAATTCTATTATGTCTTCATATTCCACGTCTGGGAAATCTTTGGAGACCTTAGAATTAGTCAGAGAAATGCAGATTAATGGTCCTGTCTCCAACAGCTACACTTTTGTTTCTGCTCTCACAGCCTGTGAAGGCTTGTCGCTTGCAAAGTTAGGGAAAGAGATCCACGCTGCTATTCTGAAATCAAGTCATTGTTTTGAGGTATATGTGTGCAACGCCTTGATTGCAATGTATGCAAGGTGTGGTAAAATGTTTGAGGCAGGAAGGATCCTTCGTCAGATGGATAACGACGATGTTGTGTCATGGAATTCCCTGATTAAGGGATATGTACAGAATTTCATGTGCAAGGAGGCCTTAGAACTCTTTCGTGATATGATTGCTGCTGGCCACAAACCCGACGAGGTTTCAGTGACCAGCGTCATTGCAGCGTCAGGAAGATTAAGCAATCCGTTGGTAGGTATGGAATTGCATGCTTATGTGATTAAACATGGCTGGGATTCTAATCTGCAGGTTGGGAACACGTTGATAGATATGTATTCAAAGTGCAACCTCACAGGTTATATGGGCCGTGCGTTTCTTATGATGCGTGAAAAAGATATTATTTCATGGACTACAGTCATTGCTGGTTATGCTCAGAATGATTGTCATGTAGAGGCCTTAGAACTCTTCAGAGGTGTTGCTAAGAAAAGGATGGAGATTGATGAAATGATGCTTGGAAGCATCCTTCGAACTTGTAGTGTGCTAAAACCTATGCTTATTGTCAAAGAAATTCATTGTCACATCTTGAGGAAAGGTTTACTTGATACTGTGATACAGAATGAGTTGGTAGATGTCTATGGAAAATGCATGAACATGGGCTATGCTACTCGAATATTTGAATCAATTAAAGGTAAAGATGTTGTCTCTTGGACAAGCATGATCTCGTCTAGTGCTCATAATAGTAACGAAAATGAGGCTGTTGAACTCTTTCGACGCATGGTTGAAGCTGGTTTGGCGGCTGATTCCATAGCATTGTTAAGTATACTGTCAGCTGCAGCAAGTTTATCCACCCTCAAGAAAGGGAGAGAAGTTCATGGCTACTTATTCCGGAAGGGTTTTCCCCTAGAGGGGTCAATTGCTGTTGCAGTTGTTGACATGTATGCCTGCTGTGGAGATTTACAGAGCGCAAAGGCTGTATTTGATCGGATAGAAAGGAAAGGTTTACTGCAATACACAAGTATGATCAATGCATATGGAATGCACGGCTGTGGAAAAGCATCTGTTGAGTTGTTCAATAAAATGAGGCATGAAAACGTCTCGCCTGATCACATTTCATTTCTGGCACTTCTTTATGCTTGCAGCCACGCAGGTCTCCTTGACGAGGGTAGAAGGTTTCTCAATATCATGGAACATGAATATAAATTGGAACCATGGCCTGAACATTATGTGTGTTTGGTTGATATGCTTGGTCGTGCAAATTGTGTGTTGGAAGCCTTTGATTTCGTTAAAATGATGAAGACAAAACCAACCACGGAAGTGTGGTGTGCACTCCTTGCGGCATGCCGATCTCACTCAGAGAAAGAAATTGGAGAGATAGCAGCTCAGAGACTCCTTGAGCTAGAACCTAAGAATCCAGGAAATCTTGTGCTTGTATCTAATGTCTTTGCTGAACAAGGCAGATGGAAGGATGTTGAAAACGTGAGGGCCAAAATGAAAACAAGCGGATTGAAGAAACACCCTGGATGTAGTTGGATTGAGATTGACGGCAAGGTTCATAGATTTACAGCAAGGGATAAGTCTCATCCAGAAACTAAAGAGATATATAAGAAATTGTTCGAGGTTACTAGGAAGTTGGAGAGGGAAACTGGTTATCTAGCTGACACAAAATTCGTTCTGCATAATGTAGAGGAAGAGGAGAAGGTTCAAATGCTGCATGGACACAGTGAGAGGCTAGCAATTGCTTATGGTCTGCTCAGAACACCTGACAGGGCCTGTCTCCGGATCACAAAAAATCTACGTGTCTGTAGCGATTGCCATACATTTTGTAAGCTGGTCTCTAAGGTATTCAGCCGAGACATTGTGATGAGGGATGCAAATAGATTTCATCATTTTGAAAGTGGACTGTGTTCTTGCGGGAATTCTTGGTGACCAAAAACTTGACAACGCATATGTTTATCAATCCAGACCAAGATTATTATGTCATTAGCTCCACATAGCTTCACAAGGTTTGCATATGGTTATTTGCCTGTTTCCCACCAAGAAGAACAAGTGAAGCTCTTTTTTTTTGCACCAGAGAAGGGATCGAGAGAGAATTCAAAGTAAATGGAGACCTGAAAAAGAGGTTAAAGTAAAGGCATATCAGCAATTAAAAGCAGGAAGCAGAGACCTAGACATCAAGCTAGGGATAGAGTCGTCTAACTAGGCTGTTGAGCAGAGACCTTGTAAGCACCTTGAGAGTAAATGTCTCCACGATACTCATCTCTCTTTTCTCTTTGTGATTATATTTGCTTTTAAATCCACACCTACCAAACCCGTGGAGGAATCTTTCGTATATGCACCTCTATGCCTCTCCATTCAAACCTCTGCTTTTTACCTTTTACGTATATGTATTTGCATCGTATAAGAGAATGATGGATTATTTTGTGGGATACTTAATGCAGGAAGAGCGGAAACATAGGAGGGTGGTTAATGCAAAACCTAAAGATGCGGTCTTTTAGTTACAAGGAGTCAAACTAAGCATGAAAGCTTCTTCAAAGAATACAGAAGAAATGGTCAAGATTTAAACTAAGGTACGACACTGTGTGTACGT